CAAGGGCTCACTGATGATGTCTCCTCGTATGGTGACAAAAGGTTTGCAAGCCAATTGCCAAGCTCGGCGAACAGATCAACAGCCATCTGATCAGCAACCAACAAACTCACCCGAGCTACCAATATTTCACCACATTACCAGTTTTCCTCATTGTCAGAACTGGGAGTCATAAAAGATAATTCATGGTGCATATACTGGTTTAGTCTCTTGTCAAGGTAAGTAATATGCGCAGCGACAAGAGTGCTTTGGGTGCAATGCCTGCTCCAATCCATGCTGTATCTCTTTTACAAATTATTACTACCTCTGATACGGTCAGATTTTATCATTATTCTCAAAGTCATCGTTTTGGTCACCGGAAAATCGGAAAACAGGGGGATGGAACCGGACTTTGAAGGCAGTGGCATAGTCCGTTCTAGTCATTCTAGCTGCCTAAAGAAGCGGGAGTTTGGTAGATCTACGCTAAATGTTTTAGCTTTGTTTTGGTCTTTTACTACCAGTATCCATAGGTGAGATGAGTCTTCATGTCATGGTGTTCCTGCTAAAGTCATTCGCGCGATTACTAACAGTGTTGTGCCGTCATTTCAGAAGGGCTGAGGGAACATTCGATGGGTTTGTAGCTGGGGAACAGCATCAACTTTTGACTGACATTCAACGCTGATCTAATGTGCCAATCGGATGAGATCTTACTGACTGGCTCCCCGTTTGAATTACTGTTATATCTGCTGATTCGCCAATCTATGATATCTGCTGCTGACCCGCTTCAGTGCCTAATGCCGGAGAAAAAAAGACTCACAGAATGGAACACAACAGCTTTTTATCGAACAAGCCAGTTGTCAGGGCGCGCCCAAACAGAAGAAAAAGTACATGTGCAGAGAGTGACGCATCCCCAAGGTCACCATCGGTTCGACACGTCCGGAAAGTAGGTGAGTTGGCGGCTCCCACGAAACACGGCTCTCACCAAACGGCTTAGCAACACACGACCAGCGTAGTGGGCCTGAGAATGTTCACGACCGGAACACCACCATTGGCTGTATGGAGCGAACAAGTGAACGAGCATATTTGGCCAATTAGTCATCCTATATATTTACGCAGACGCTCTGTACGTTTTGTCCTGGCAATACAGCCGTGTCCCCAGTTCTCTGTCTTCTCCCTATCGCGTAGTCTGGCAGGCTCAGTGCAGGCGTAACCCAATAGTTCGGCCACCACCGCACAATACAACAAGTTGCCTCAGCATCCCTAATTCGATGGTAGGGGCGAATCGTATGCCTACCGTTCTCTTGCTTTCACCAGAAAGTGTATGCACCATTTTGACGTTGGTCCTTGAGATCTACCATCCTCTCCTATTACAGCGCCTCCAAGTTGAACCATCTCATACAGTAAACCGCTGAAACGCTCCTCGGGAAAATGGTTTGTGCAACGCCTTTATTGGTCACCATTTGTAGATGCAATTCATGCTTCTGTTTAGTAGACAAGGCAAAGTTCGACTACAGAAATGGTATACATCATATTCGGAGAAGGAAAAGAAAAAGATCTTGCGAGATCTCATGACAATCGTCTTGGCTCGAAAGCCTAAAATGTGTTCTTTTGTGGAGTGGAAGGGATTTAAAATAGTGTACAGAAGGTAAATGTTGCGTTTCGTGTATGGTAACTTACCTTTTCAGGTACGCCAGCCTCTACTTCTGCACGGCCATTGAGCCTCAAGATAATGAGTTGCTAACACTGGAGATTATTCATCGTTACGTTGAACTGCTTGACAAGTACTTTGGGAGCGTGAGTAATTTTTTTGCCTGTGAACGAGTACTCTTTCAACTCTGTTGATATGCTTTGATATGAAAAACGCCCAAAATCGGTTGTGGGTTTAACTTCTAGGTGAACTGATTCGCGTTGCGCCTCTAATTCGTGCTCCATGGTAGCAAATCGATCCGCTCATGAGAAGGACTTTGGCTACTCAGGCGACATAGGCGGTCGCTGATTTGTTCGCTGAACTAGCTGGAACAAATTTCCCAGCTCAACGGACGAACCGACGACCAATATATTGGTCATCTCAAGGCGATTCAAAGTCGCATCCAGAGTCAAATATGTACTCAGGATACGTCGTGTTGCCTATTTCTCCGACTGTCTATTCGCATCGGCGATGTATGTTTGGGATCGCGCTCAAACCCGTGACAAAAGTTTTAGGCAGCCGGCACGAGCTCAACCCAGCTATCGCCGAAAGACAATGAACAGTACCGAATATACACTCGTTTGCAATTAATTTGGTTTTTCGAGAGAGCCACCTGGAACCCAGCTGAATCGGTTTTGATGTTCCCAGGCAACTGAATGTGCTGCACCAGGCTGCCTCATGTTTCAGTCGCTACGATATTCGAGATATTGCGACACATATATATTTTGTAATGCCCTACTCATAAGGTTGCTGAAAACTCCTCGACAACCCTCAACCGGTTTCGCCCTTCATGGGACTCAGCAGCTAAGCGCAGTCACCGGAGTTTCCGTCAACCTTGGGTTCTACTTGAAACCAAATTGCACGGAATTAGGATATATACACTTATTTGCAAATTAATTTGGTTTTTCGAGAGACTCACCTAGAACCCAGCTGAATCTCTCGGTTTTGATGTTTCCGGGCGCCTACCTGATGGGCCCCAAGAAGGGCGAAACCGGTCGTGGGCTGTCGAGGAGTTTTCAACAGCCTTATGAATAGTGCATGATAATGAACATTGTTCTTCCAAGCTCAGATGCTTTTCCTTTTTCGCACTTCCACCCTCAAAATTGTCACTAATATAGAGCTATTACTTTATTTTTGGCTTACTATTTGTGAGCGAATGAGTTGTAAATTTCCCCACCGATGAAATATGCGACTGTTCGCCATCAAAAGACTCATGAAAGTCTCGTTCGCTTAATAGCGACGTCAAACGGTGGGTTTCCGAGCATGACAATCTTGTGTGTATTTGGCGCATTATATCGTGTACATTCTGATCCGTAGCGAATGCAGCCTCAATAGTGAACTGTCCGGGAACATCGTGTCCTTAAGACAGCTACCAAGTCGTGTTGCAGGTTAGTGGTGAAAAGTGAAAAAAAGTTGTTGACCGTTTTAGGTGCCAAGATAGATGGACGTAATGTCTTCAGTATTTTCGTCGTTATCTCCTCCAGGCCATCTGGTTACCTTACAAGCCATATCGCACATATTGTGCCATCATCCACTGTGTAAGCGGTTTTAAAAGCTTGTTACGGATTGG